AAAATTTTCCCTATTTAAAATTCACCCTAGGTCAGTCCCGCTTGCTGAAAAAGCCATGTCTTGAGGGCGCGGCGGAAGGTTAGGAGATCCGGGATCGTCCGGATCTCGGGGGGTAGTTCGTTCCAGAGGGTGGGGGCACCCACAGAGAAGGCCCTCCCCCTGGGGGTCGCCAGCCGACATTGCTTGGCCGACGGCACCCCATGCCTTAAAATGGTCAAGGTTGAGAAACACTGGTATAGATGAACCTGCAAATTTGGAATAGAATGCTTTGCCTTTTAAAATCACCCTTCCTCTAGATATTTTAGACTACACTTCCCATGATCCACAACCACTGGCTACGGTCTTGAGTCTGACGGGGGAACAGGAGCGCTAATTAAACAGGAGAGATTGGTGCAGCTGCTTTAAAAGGAACGTCGGGGTGGATTGGGTTGTTTTAACCCTTTCTCTGCGTTTGTGGGGAAGCATTTGTTTCCCAGTTGTTGACTGACATTTTATGGAGAAATTATGTGGCCGTTTATCCAGACCAGGAGTTCGATGTGATGTTTCGGTACAAAAGAGGGAATAATAAATAATACACAGCATTGCCTCCCCTCTGTGGGAGAACAGAGACGCCTCTTCTGAAGAAGGAGCTCGCCATCTGCATTTGTTCCGAATTCTTCTGTTCTCTAAATTGCAGCTTTTAAACTTCATGGCGTCGCTGCCTTATTTTTAATTGCCCTTCCTGGATTAAAAAGCCTCCCTTGGAAACATTTTATTTTTAAATAAAGCACCTAGGGATGTTTTTTTTTTTTTTTTTTTAAAAAGAGAGATTCAATTAACGAGCCATTCCACATCTTCAATTCAAAGATTTGCAGCCGCTTAATCTCAGGACTTCAATTTAAAGGTTGCAATGCTACGCTCTTTGCGATTTAAGGTTGAGGTTCTAGCAAAGCTCCCCGTGAAGCTGGTGTCATATCTAGACTGGATCACAGACAAGGATCCCACTCAGCCCATCCCAGAATTAGCCAAGATCAAGATCTAGTCTAATGAAAAGAAGGGCTAGGGAGTGACGTGGTAGCACTGTTCCAATATTTGAAGGGATCCTACAAAGATGAAGGAATCAACCTATTTTCCAAAGCACCGGAAGGCAATGGTTGGAAACTAACCAAGGAGAGAAGCAACCTAGATCTAAGGAGAAATTTCCTAATGGTGAGAGCAATCAATCAATGAGACAGCTTGCCTTCAGAGGTTGTGGGTGCTCCATCACTGGAGGCTTTCAAAAAAAGGCTGGACAACCATTTGTCTGGAATGGTCTAGACCAGGGGTATGCAACCTTGGCTCTCTTATGACTCATGGACTTCAACTCCCAGCATAGCTGGCTCAGGAATTCTGGGAGTTGAAGTCCATGAGTCATAAAAGAGCCAAGGTT